AGCTAATCATCTATTCCAGGCCCATACAGCAGTCCTTCGGCTTCTTCAAAATTTAGTTGTTCATGGAGTTTTTCGTTTTTTCGTAACGTTCTTTCCTCCATTGAAGCAAATGTCACGTACCCGTGGGAGACGCTCGATGCGTGCTTCCGCACGGGTCGACTCAATGACTCATAACTTTTGAATCGTAACGAATATCGATTTGCCCTTTTAGCACAACATTCTAGACAGTTATAGCTATCGAAATCCGCAAAAAAAATTTCGATCTTTTTGACCCAACAAACGAGACTGGACCCTTAAAATTAAAATGGATAGTTGACCTCCGATGACCTTGACCCACCCACATATTATGAAGGTCATCACATCGAATAACCTTCGGAAGACTGTAGCAGTCACCCATCACGCGTTACGTATTTATCCCAAAAAATTCGTACGACCTTCACTCACAATGTCAAGGTCACAACCCTGAGTGACCATCGGACACTTTTAGCAGGCGAGGGTGAGAGATGACCAAAGAGGGCGAGAGAGGACGAAAGAAAGTGAGATAGGGCGAAAAATGAGGGAGTGGTGGAGGTGTGTGGTGAGGGGGGAGGAGGGGGAGGGGTGGTGGGGGTCAAAGTTGGTGGAGGTGTAAGTGAAAGGTGAGAGACAAGAGAGGTGCATGTGACTGCGGACAGAGGAGAAGAAGACGTTACTTCATTTTTCATGAAAATCATCAATTTTCGACCACTCGTATGTCCAGAACAACTTGACCAATTTAAAATTTTTTTAGCTCAAATTACTCGTGGCGATGCGACCTTTTAGGATGTATCACATGCAATTCAAAAATTTTTATACCTCAGTAGTTATGCAACCTCCAAAAATGGACTTTGGTGTCTCGGGATAACAGACTTGTAGTCTTTTTTTTTAACATGGCCGGAGCCACTACCGCGTCTCCTGATACTGCAAAATTACAAGTGAATGCATCCAAAACACATTTCTTAATACATTATCTATTTTTGTAGTCGGATTGAATTTAAACTATAAGAGATTGTGTATTATTACCTAAAGCCTTTAATAAGTTAAGCATCTACTTTTCATCTATTATTATCTTTAAAAGATTAACAATTCGTTGTCTTACTCTCTTCGTCATCTTAACCCCCATTCCCCTACATATATTATGCATATAAAATATATATACTATATATGAAAAATATATATAACAAATATATATGTAAAAAATAAAAATATATGTACATCAGTTTTTATGCAATCACGAGACTTTTTTTTTTATTGTCCGTCCGCCCTTACTAGAGATGTGCACGAGACGAGACGAGACGAGATTTTTGCAATCTCGATTTCAATCTCGCAAATATAGATCTCATCGAGATTCGAGATCGAAAATTGTTAAAAATTTAACAAAACGTTGTTAAATTTTCAATAATTTTGTTTTTCAGGAGAAACAATACGTACGCTCTCGTGGAATAGACCGTATTTGTGAATATAAATGAATTTTTTGTATATTTATTGTAATTTTACAGGATTACAGTACCGGTAACATGAAGCCGTAATCACACTAACGATTCGCGATTGTGATTGACGATTGAGGATTACTTTTCAACCAATCGGAGCAAAGAAATCGGTGACTTTCAGGCTTTGCTCTGATTGATTGAAAAGTAATCCTCAATAGTCAATCACAATCTCCAATCGTTAGTGTAATTACGGCTTAACGTACATTATAGAGTTTCAGTACTGGCAGTGAATATTGGAACGTAGTCAGACATGCACAATAGCGATTTTTGGGACTGACGATCATCCCGCAGGTTTCTTTAAACCTATTACCTACCTTTATCGTGTCTACACATGCGCAAAACAATATATCCGAATCTATTATTGTCCATAAATCTGTTCTTTATTCCTCTTCCTCGCACTGTCAGAATTAGTGCAAATAAATTGGAACGAAACAAATATATGTTTGATTCACTTCAACTTATTGCATCGTGTGCACCAATTCAGACAGTGGTAGTATCTCGGTATCACACTCTCGACTTCACTCTCGGTGCCCTCACGACCGTCTTTGATGCTCCACAGCTCAAGTGCTGGCCCGAGGTCCTTCCGGGAGCGCGCAGGTATCGTAGGTTCACGTGATTAGCCTTATCGCTCCTGGTTCGTCGCGAGCCTTCTCGCGGGTCCCATGCGCCCTCGCGAGTCGCTGTTGCCCTGGATTCGGCGCGCGAAATTTAACTGTTGGTGGGCATTAATCGGCGGCTGCACGCAGGAATTTCCCCTGTCTCATCCTAGGGCCTCCCGGATGCCAAAGCAATCAATTTCCCCCGCCGTGCGGTTTCCTTTTCCGCGGCAGGGCGTCATCGTTTGGTCGAGTACTCCTTGTGGCGCCGACAGCGGAGCCTCCATGCCCGGTGAGCAAGGGGTTCGCGTCCCCTTCATGCCGTGTCTTTCTCTGTTACGGGGCTATCTCCAGTAAAAATCCGGTACGAGGATCATGCTCGCAATAAAATGGTTTATTAAAATCAAAGAGCTGTTCACCTGCGCGTCCTCCCTTCCGGCCGCGGCCTCGTTCCTCTTCGGATGTGTCTCCATTCTTCTCCTTCGACGTCCGCTGGGTGGGTGAGACGTAGCTTCAGATTGACATAGTTTTTTGTAGCCGCTGATGAAACGCTAGAAAAAATGCTTAACGAAAAAGTAAAGAATCTGCGAATCGCAATCGCAAAGTCGCCCGTAATCGCGATAAGCGCTGGCACGCCCGCCCTCCGCGACGGGAGGACACAGGACAAAAATGCCGCGCTAATTCCGGTTGGGTCAAACGACCCTTGTGACGGACGGTACAAACGTCACGTCACAATATACAGAAGACTGTGCACCAGCACCATCCGCGCATATAACTATTATTTTAATATCTCTCAATGAAATAATAAAATATTTTGTTGGAATCTCGGCGAGAATTTTAAACAATCTCGATCTCGTTATGCTAGATCTCGGTATCGATCTCGAATATTACAAGTGATCTCGATCTTGAATCTCGTCTCGAAATCGAGACGAGATCGAGCCGAGATCGAGATTTTTCTCGTCTCGTGCGCATCTCTAGTCCATACTTCCTTTCGCCAACTCGTTACTCTACACTTGGCACAATTCTGAGTCGACGCCCCTGTGGATATCCGGTGCATTCCTAATCTAAAGCAGCGAAAGAGTTTTTGGAAATAATCAAGTCAATGTCAAATTTGATGTAATATAAGAGATATTACATATATTGAATACTTTTACGGATTGTGGAAGGTAAAGATAAAGCACTCTCCAATTAATAAAATGTATTTGTTAATAAAATCTAATTAATAAAATCTATTTTTAAATTGCAAATAACTGAAGTTGTTTTATGAATTAAATCATATTTGCATAGATTGTGTAGAAAATGCTTAGTCGGCAATTGTCATTCATATTTCTAGATAACAAAGTAACGTTACTTTTAATTTAAAATTATGTCTTTTATTATGACATTTTGAAATTAAAATGATGATAAATAACGTCATTTTGCTATCCTATGTCAATAAATTTTTTTTACAATCGCTTTTTATTTTAAAATGATATAAAATATTGAAATGGACTGTTTTATTAGCCTCTCTCTCTCTCTCTCTCTCTCTCTCTCTCTCTCTCTCTCTCTCTCTCAAAAAAATGCAAAAAAAATTTGTGAAAGGTTCACTTTTATTAACACACAATACAAGAGAAATATATTTATATAAACTAGTAAAAGTAATTATTATAAAAGAGATCTAAGAAATGATTTGATGTAACAATGCTTGAGTGATAATGTATTGTTGTTGGAGTTCTCATATGCTCATAAATTCAATTATATTTATAACTGAGAATCATAATTACAATCATACTAACTTTAATAAATGTAGAACAATACACGGAAATAATAATCGCAGATACAATAATAACATACCTCTGTATGAAACAATGGTTCTTACAGATCTATGGCATTTTTCAATAAATTCGTGAACTCATGTTAGCAGAATCAATAAGTGATCATTTATCACTTGTTGGTTGACTATTTGTTAAACTCATTCAATTTACAGTTGATTACCCTAGTAGCACAATTTATTAACGAAATATTGAATCAATATATCTCCAATGCATGGTAATGTTTAACCAATATAGTCTCAAATTATATACAAATATTTGAAGAGCGGATTCCCACTGCAAATTATAAAAACGCAACAATATATATTTCAATGACTATTTGAAATTGCACAATAATTATAACAATTTTTAATATTATAACAATTTTTAATAAACGTGCTTTCAAATAATTTTAGATAAATCTTCATTAGAATGTTCCTTTTAACTTAATCCGTGAGTAATTCAGTAATAAAACATAGTAGGAACATTAAAAAAATTTTATAAGAAAAACTTCAAACTTTCATAATAGATAGTCAAAAATTTTTGCAAATTTTTTGTGTATAGCCTTATAAAGTGAAAAAAAAAAGTTCTATTTTTTTCAGCTTGTATTATATTACCAAAAAATGATAAAAATTTGGTAGAAATTACCAAACTCACAAAAACTAAAAAAATATAGTAACCTTTAGAAAATAAAGATTTCAAACTTTAAAACTTTTTCCTTATTAATTTAAATTTCATTTTTAACGAAGATATTATATATTCAAGTTTGAGCTAAAAAAACCATGTTACTTTCAACCAAATAATTCCATTAGCGTGTATTATGTAAAGATCGACTAATTATTATGCATGCAAATGTTTTCACTCAATCTTAACGATGCGACAGCAGCACTAGAGTATGAATAGATACTGTGTATTATATACGTACTTTAAAAAATTCATTTATGCATTCTTTTTCCTTTTTTTTCAATAATTATGCAACCAAGTTGTCGGAAAATGTCAACATGTCAATTCAGCATATTATTAAAGCGATATTACTGTCAAATCACTCTTATTTTGAAATGAAAAGATAACAAATGCAGTAGAATACTGATACATTCAGTCTTGAGATTTAATTGAGAAACTACGCAGGAGGCTTTATGCAATGATGTTAAGTTGTTTCACTTCGTTATTTTATCTTGTTTGTTATATTTTAATTAGTCTCGTGACACACACAACGTCAAAAGCATTGTCGATTTTATTATTGGAGCCTATTCCATCGACCAGCCACCACGTTTGGGCAGAGAATTTGATTAAAGGACTACTTCGCGAAGGCCATCATGTACATGTAATGAGCATACACGAAACTAAGGTTGAGGATAAACTCGCACAGAACTTGACGTACGCCGTAAGTAGATGATACGAGACTCATTCTGACAAGAAGCACTATCCAGTTTATATGTATATACACGTCAATTTTCATGAAACTTTTAGTACTCATAAAATGTAAAAATTGTTGTCAGTGCTAAGTCATTTTTGTAACTTTGAATTTTTCTTAAAATTATGATGTGATAGCCAAATATGGACAACGGATTCATTTTTAATAGATAAAAATACATTGCCCATTGGAAATGATTAATCACACTTGTGTTGCAAAATAATATCGAATAGTGTAATTTTCTCATATTTTTTTCGATTTTCATTAATTTTCCATAAACGTTATAATTTTTTCTATTGCTTATTGATGACTGCTAATGAAATGAGTACCATTATTCATCATTTTACATATACTTTTAATAATAAAAGTTTCATAAAAATATCGGCGTATGTATGTTTATTGAAGAGTTTTCCTTGTGACTATAAATCGATTATATAAAATCTATTAAATAAATAAGAAAGAATATATATTTTTGTTTAAAAAAACGTTGTCTTATACAACATACTTCATATATAGAAAGTCAATGCTTTTGAAGATCTCAATTTATTACATTTTTTTACATGGCTTCTCCTGTATAGTGAAGCATACTTATTATTATTAGGTATTCGATGATGTGATGAAAACTTATGAAGAATCCGAGGATTATAACCCGTCTGAATGGGAACAGTACAGTGTATTTTATACGGGATATTTTACATATCAATGGGGAATCAATGCATGTGAGGCAATGACGGAGACTAAAGCAGCGAAAGAGCTTTTGGAAATGATTAAGAATGTCGAGTTTGACGTTATAGTGCAGGATATTACACTAACTCAATGTTTCTACGGATTGTGGGAGGTGAAGATAAATAAAACAATCAGTGAAATATATTTAATACATTTTTTAATTGTAAGACTGAATTCGCCATAGAGTGGATGATTCATGTCAGTCGAGACACTAACAATTATTAGTTGCTCGTGTAACACGGTTCTTATAGATCAAATTGTGTTTGCGTAGCAAACTAAAAACGCTTCGTCATCGTTTATGTCAGTAATAATTTGTAGCACCTTTTTTCTTCATACGACATATAACAAATGTTGAAATAAATGATTTATTTATAAGGCTTCTAATAATACAAAAAACGCGGAAATGATGAATAAAAACATAGTATTTTTTGCATAGTAACATATAATTAATTTTATTGTGTGCATTTATTACAAAGTAACATCTATATAATTCTAATTTTTGCTATTGTTATTCTGTAAATATTGTTTTTTAGGTTGCTAAAGGTAAGCCACCTATAGTAGGTTACATTCCGTTTGGTCCTGCACCTTGGCTCAAGGATTTTATCGGTGGTCCAAGTTATCCAACTGTTCGACCTTACACGCATGCAGCCATTGCGAAACCCGTAGGTTTGTGGCAGAAGACATGGAATGTTCTCTATTACATTATGGATGATCTCATACGACAATACTATTTTTTACCTATTGTTCAACGGCTTGCTGAGAAATACGTAGGCCGCACAATTAGACCATTACATGAAATAGAAAAAGACAATATTAATATTGTACTAATCAATAGTCATCCTGCATTTGATTCTGGGATTCCATTGCCGCCGAATACCTTGGAGATTGCAGGATTAAATGCTCAGCCCGTAAAATCGATTGTCGACGAGGTAGTCGTAACGTATCCAGAGGTAAGAGATATTATTCTTCTTATTTGAAAATTAATAGAACTAGAAAAAATTAAAAGGAAACACTCAGTGCCGGCTCTAGTTAATGCGGGGCTGGGTGCATAAAAATGCGGGACTGATTCTTTAAAATGAAATAATATATTTCAAATCATAATTATTTTATTTCAAATATATAAAATAAATATAAAATAACATAAAATAAAATAAACAAAAATTTAATGTTTTATAATAAAATTTATAACAAAATCTTTGATAATAAAACCTTTGAAGATCAAATAATCTTAAAAACAAACTTTTCTCGCTTTTGCTGAAGCAAAGTCGTTAATCACATTGGGAAAATGAGTCTCATGTGATATTTCTCTTTCTATTGACACCATCGCTAGTCCCATTAGTCTTTCTTGCGATGTATTTGAGTGAATAAAAAACAGATTTAATCTTATCCGCACGTGTAGAAGTGAAAGGTCCAACTATTGTCTATCTCGTTGTCATGTCACAATAAGTAAAACGCGGGGCTGATCAAAACGTGGGGCCGCGTGTGCTGCACCGTTGCACAGGGCCTAAAACCGGCACTGGAAACACTGTATTGTACTAAAGAAATAGAATTTTAATGGAATTCTGATCGATTTTATTATTTGTTATTATTCCTCGTTGAAGAATAGTTTAAAACTAAGACTTACTATTATTCTATCTCGTATTACATTTTGAAGTCCATTTCTTAACTTTATTAAGAATATTATGGCACAGTAAGAAAATACTAATTTACTGATAATATTTTAGATAAATAATTAGAAGGAAAAATCTGATAAATTAGGGATCTTGTTAATTTCTTGTTTAGTTTAAAATTTTTAAGATTTCCTGTACTTATATTTTATGTTGGATTGAATGAAAAGTTCCATTTTTTCAATCAAATTAAAAAAACGGTTGTGCATGCAATGTGAGAATCTCTGCACTCACTCCAATCGAATATGTATATATATGAGGGTTGTCTGAAAAGTTTTGAGCCTCCTCATGAAGATGGCGTTACTCGTCAAAGCCACACTGAGAGAAATGTTTTGCACCAATAACCAAAGTTTTGTTACTGACACAAAAACTATTTGTTGATATATGATCAATCAAACCGATGATTACCACGATAATATTAATTTGTTGAATTTATTAACTAAACTGATTATTTAATGTTACAAAACTGTTTTGTATGATGTTTATGGCTGTCCTACAGTGTGCTTTTTGTTTCTTGTTTTTTGCTGTTTGTCTCTTGCCTTCATGATCAAAAAGGCAAGAGACAAACAGAGGCAAACAGCAAAAAACAGGAAACAAAAAGCACATTGTAGAACAACCATTATAGATCTTTTGCAATTAGAAATAAAGCATTTTGTTACCGGAACAAAATGAATAATATATAAGTATCTCTCACTTTCTACAAAGTGATTATGTTTGGCGTTTTTTAATTTCCTTAGCTTGGCAAAAATATATATAGATTTAGAGCGATTGAGATTACTAATCGCTCTGAAAAAATAGTTACCATGATTAATCATGGTGTAGCGAGAACCGAGAAGTCCACGAGATTAGTCTTTAATCGTCTCGGCTTTATAGAGGTAGACGTTGAATTTCTCTTACGAGAAGACACGCCATCTATAATACCTCCGCGAAACACTCCTTGCTCTATCATAGTGGATTATTTTGTTGAAATTACTAAAAGAATACTTATTTTGTAATGGCTACCAAACTTTACATTGGTATTTACAAAACGTGAGTAACCAAATAAATTTGTACTGATAAATAAAAAAATTTTGTTCATCTTTTACAAAAAAATATTGTATTTTGTAATTTTAACAAAGTAATCCAATAATAATCGGCCATTTGTGAATAATTCTCTTTTTTTGTTACCAATACTATATCT